GCTAGTTCAGGCAAGCGGTGAGGAGGGTCTAAATCAGGCCGTGTGAGCAGAGACAAGGTGATAGATGTGGGGTGATGACTTGGCACCTGGGTGGTTATATAGGGTGAGTGAGAGTGAGGAGCAGTGGATGAGACTGAGGTTTGGAACTAGTGTGACTGGAAAGACTGTTGTGCCCTCAACAGATATAGGAATGTTTGGAGAGGAGAAAGCAAGTGGGTTCTGTTCTGGACTTGCTGAGTCAGAGATGCATACAGAGCATACACTTCAAAATGTCCAATTGACAATTGGTATTTCCCGATTAAAGCTCAGGAGAGACTAGATGCATTTGTGTAGAGATGATGATGTACTCGTGAGCTGATGACATCACCAAGAGCGTGTGGAGAGAAAAGAGAAGAGGTCCAGGACAGTCTTTTGGCATGTCACAGTTAGGAAACAAAATATGAATGAAGAGCCCTTGAAAGGCTTAGTAAACTGCACATGATAAATGCTTGTTGATTGAAGGGGATTAAGATGAAGCAGGTAGGCAGGTGGTTAGAGTACTGGGCTATAGTTGGGAAGTCCTGAGTTTGAATCTAGCCCCTGATACTAACTATGTGACCCTGGGTAAGTCCTTAACCTTTGTGTACCTCAGTTTCCTCAGCACCTACCTTGCAGGGTTATTGTGATGTGAAATGAGGTACTATTTATAAAGTGCTTAGCTCAGCGTCTGGCACGTAGTAGGTGCTGTATAAATGCTTATTAACCCTTCCCTTCCCCCTAGGAGGAGAACCAAGAGAATGGAGGGAATGTCCAAGAGGAGAAGACGGGTCACCAGTTTCAAATGCTAGTTCTAGAGGGATGGGTATTGAGAAAACCCCGTTGAACTTGGCAGTCATTGGTAACTTTGGAGAAAGCAGGTTCAGCTAAGTGCTAAAGGTGAACAGCAGTTTCTAAAAGGATCATAGGGTCATAGGATCGTAGCACCAGAGACAGAAGGGAACTCAGAGATCCGTTAGTCCTTTGCCTTCAGAGAAGGGAATGACAGGAAAGGAAGCAGAGGCAAGGAGATTGGACTTTTCTCTAGGCTTGACTGTGAAAGGGAGGAGAGTTGTCTTAAGGGGATGGCAGAGTCAAGTGAAGATTTTGTTTTTTAAGGATGGGAATTTTCTAGACATATTTTTAGGTAGCAGGGAAGGAACCACTAGAAAAATGAAAGATTAAAGAAAGGGGAGGAATGATTTTGGAGGCGATCTGCTGGAAGGGACTTGATTTTTTTTTTTTTAGGCAATTGGGGTTAAATGATTTGCCCAGGGTCACACAGCTAGTAAGTGTCATGTGTTTGATCTGAGTCCAGATTTGAACTCAGGTCTCCTGACTTCAGGGTCAGTGCTCTACCCACTTCACCACCTAGCTGCCCCTTTGGAAGGGACTTGGAAGGAATAGGATCAAGGGTACAAGTAGAGGGACTGGGCTTGATGAAGAGAAGGGCCACCTCTTCTTCAGATCCCTGGGGCAATCAAAAGGGAGTGGGGGTGAGATGGTGATATCAAAGGGTTTTGAGATACAGAGAAGGGGGAAAGAGGGAGTTTACAGTAAATAGCTTCTTTTTGTTTTCAGTAGAGTTCCTCTGCTGAGAGGATAGAATGAGAAGGTTTGGAATAGAAGTGTGGCTATGGGCAATGAGAGAACCATTTAGGGAGGGATAAAAAGATTGTCTTGATGAAGTGAAGGCTATGTTAAGATTAGAGAACAAATCTGTAGGGAACTTAGTTAATATAGTTTTGGTTATTTGACTTTTTACGTGGTTCATTAGGACAAGGTAAGAGAGAGAGAAGGAAAAGGAGAAGACAGAAAGGGGTAAGAAGAAGGAACAGGAGAGAGAGAAAGGGGGAAAAGGGCAAGGACAGTGTCTCCTTTGGGGCCTCTAAAGCTCTCAGAAGTTTTCATTTGATGCTTCTGCTTTCTCATTACTACTCACCTCTCAAACCTTTGCGTCTGGCCTCTACTGAAATTGTCATCTAGGGTCACCGATGATCTCCTAATGGTCAATGCCAGGTAATCAATCTTTATTCTCCTTTAACATTGACACTATTATCCACCTTGTCCTTCTGGATACCATCTTTTCTTCCTCAGCTTCCATGACACTTAACTTACTGGGTTCTCTTCTTTCTCCTCATTCTAATCCATTCTCCACTCTGCACCAGAATGATTTACCTAAAGCATTAGTCTGACTTTGTCACCCCCCCATACACAAAATAAACTCTAATGGTTCCCTATTACATCTAGATCAAATAGGAAATCTTCTTTATGGCATTTAAAGCCCTTCAGAACCTAGCTTCCTCTTAGCTGTCCAATTTTCTTAATACTTCATTCCCCTCCATGAACTTTGCAGTCTGTCGACACTGTCTTCCTTTGGGTTCCTCACTCATGACGCCCCATCTCCTACTTGCCCTGGCTGTGTCTCCCATTCCTGGAGGGTTCTCCCTCTTCCTTCCCAAGTCCTCATCTTGCTGGCTTCCTTCAAGACTCAGTTCAGACCTGAGCCTCTGCAGGAAAGCTTTCCTAGTCCCCCCCTGCTCCTAGTGCCTTCCCTCTGAGGTTACCTTCTATTTTTACTGTGTAGATCTTGTATGGACATAGTTACTTGCAGATTGTCCCCCTCATTAGAATGTGTGCTCTTTGAGAGCTGGCAACAGGTTTTTGCCCATTTATTAAGCCCACAGTAAGAGCTTAATAAATGCTTACTTCTCTTACCACTATTTGTTTCTTCTGCTAGCTTTTCTTTTGTTCATCTCCAACCTTGTTCCCATCCCCAACCATAAGCATCCCCCAAGACCACCCTGGACCCTTTTCTCTCCTCTCTCTATGCCCTCTCCTGAGTAGGGGGAGAACTTTGCCTTCTCTTGGAAGACCCTAAATTGGGCTTTCATTCTGGCCTGTGCCCTTACCCCACTGCCTTCTACCATTCTCTCCCCATGCCCAACAGTGGGGAAACATTCCTGCTTACTCCAGTGGTTCAGAGCCTCATTACTTCTGCCCTGAACTATGACTGTATCCTCCTAATTGGTGCCCCTGACTCCATACTGGAAGAGTCTCCCCTCCTACACACTGATGCCCAGATGCCAAACATTTGGCACTGAGGGAACAAAAGGGGCCTAGTTATCTTTTCCTTCACTGGAGTCTTGTCTCCCCAGCCAGATTGTGATCTGCCTGAGGGCAAGGACAGGGGTTACTTCTCAGCCTCTCCCATGACTGGCCCACACAGGCCTTGGAACACTACAGGAGGTCCAAAAAACCAAACCAAACCAACAAACAACAAAAACCTAGTGAGGAAAATGTAGAACAGTAGAAGGAGAAGGCCTGGAGCCCCGAGACTTGGGTTCCAGGCCCAGTTCACTTATTCTCTCTGATCATGCTTGTCCTCACCTATAAAATGACAGGGTAGGATCAGGGTTTCCTCCCAGCTCTCATATTCTGTGATTCTAGAGAGGAAGGTAGAGGAGGGGGATGGGGCAGAAGAGAAAGAAAAAGACCTGGAAGAGATGAAGCTCTTATTATTAGGCTCCTATTATATGGAGAAGGTAGAGAACTTATTATGGTATGGTGTTAAGTGGAAAGCACATGGGGCTTCTTTCTAGGCAAGAAGACCTTCATTTGAGCTCATACTCTTGCCACTTGCATGAAGTTATAACCTCTCTGGCTTCAGTTTCTTAATCTGTTAACTGAGGGGGTTGAATTATATGATACTAAAGTCCCTTCCAGTTCTGAAATTCTATAAATATGATTTTAGTAATTTGTAAGAGGCAACCAGCCCTATCTGATAGAGGGCTGGCCTTGGATTCAGTATGACCTGGGTTCAGATCTTGCCTTTAGCACATACTAGTTGTGTGACCATGGGCAAATCACTTAATCTCTCAATCCCTGGCAACTGGCTAAGACTTCAAGTTACAAGGGAGCTTTTTGCATTGGTGGAAGGGATTTTCTATACTCAGTATTCTCTACAGTGACGAAAGGAGAAGTCTAGATTCAGTCAGTCAGTAAACATTTATTAAGCACCTACAGTGTGCTAGGCACCACACTAAGCTCTAGCGATGGGTGGGACAAAAGACAGGTCCTGCTCCCAAGGAGCTCAGTGGGGGAGAGACATCGTGCAAACAGCTATGTAGGAACAAGCTACATACAGGATAAATTAGTAGAATTAAGGGGAATGAGTAGGAACAAGCTACATACAGGATAAATTAGTAGAATTAAGGGGAATGAGGAAAGACTTCTTGTAGAAGGTGGGATTTTAGTTGGAGTAGATGTTTTTAAGTCTACATAAAAGATTCAATATCTACCTGTGGCTGTCCCTCCCTTTCCTAGTCTTCTCTGCTTCTTTCAAAGGCAGTCCCTTCCCTTTCCTTCCTTTCCTCCCTCCCTCCTTCCTCTTTCTCTCTCTCCTCCTTTTCTCCCCTTTCCCCCTCCTTCTTCCCTTCCCTCTCCCCCTCTTTCCTCCTCTCCCTCTCCCTCTCCCCCTTTCTTCCCCCTTTCCTCTCCTCTTCTTCCCTCTCCCTCCCTCCCTCGCTCTTTCTTTCGGATGGGTGGGTGGTTCTGCCTGACTGCTCTGTATTCCTCTCAGCCCCCTTCCGCCTCCCCTATCTCGGTGACGGTGACTAGGCTTCTCCCTGGAGAATCCCAGCTAAGCGATGGGGAAGGCGCGCTGGGCCAATTGTTCTCGTGCTAATCTGCGCCTGGATCTCCAGACAACCTCAGCTTTCTTTGTCCAGGCCCGCGGCGGGCTCCCGTTCTCGGACTTCCCCCTCCCCACCCTCCTCCCCGTCACAACCCCCCTCTGCCTCCCTGGAGGAGGCGTCCCCACGAGGCTGGCTTTGGGAGCACGGGAGCCATTTCGGGTGAAGGGCGAGGGAAGGCCGGAGCTTCGATTCCCGGGGAAGCTGGAGTGTCGACACTGAAGAGATGTGGTGGGGAGGGGGGAAGAAACCTCATCCTCTCCCCCACCCCAGCTCTCAAGACCTCAGTCTTGGAGGTAGGTCCCTTTCTTTGTCTGTTAAAGACTCATAGAGGAACTTGGAGACCACACAGGCGGACCCCTTTTCTTGACACAGGAAACTCACGCACGGGGTGGGGATGGTAAGTGGAAGTGATTAGCCCAAGGTCACAGAGCTAGTGTCAGAACCAGGTTTCGATCCCAGGTTTTCTGACTTCGGGCCACTTTAATACCAGCCCCTAATACCTCTTCCACTCTACCACCAATTGAATTGCTTCTCCTGGGCTCTGGGTCTTCTCCACCTGCAATGGAAATAACAGAATCAAGCCCTGGGGACTCAGACCATTCTTGCCTTATCCTTCTTCTACCCGGGGGTGGGGGGGCTCCTCCCCACCTCAAACACATTATGGTAAGGAAAGGAGGGTAAGAAGCAGCAGAAGGGATAGAGGTTAGACATGAGTGAGAAGTTCCTGCTAACATAGAGGAGGAAGGGAGCATCCTTCCTGGATGGCTCCTGACCCAGTCATTACCTATGTCTATTAGGATAAAATGTAAATTCCTTGAGGGTAAGAACTGTTGTTCATTTCTGACTTTGTGTTTCAGGTGCCTAATACAATGCTTTGTGTCAAATTTAATTGAATTGTCCACAGTTGTGTAAGTACTGAGATCTGAACCCATAATCTGTCATTCAGTCCTGTTTAAATTGTATCCTAGCCGTTAGCTACTTGTGTGATCTTGGCCTAGTCACTAAAGTGCCCTCCAGCCCTTGGTTTCCTCATTTCATGCTGCCTTTTACAAATACTTCATATCTATATAATTTATAAGGTTTACAAAATGCCAATATACATTGCTTCATTCGATTTGCACATGATCTCATGATCTTATTCAAGTATCACCTTTTTTTTTTTTACAGATTAAGAAACTGAGTCCTAGAGAAGAAAAGTTACTTTTCCAAGGTCACAGACGAGAAAGGGGGAGAGCTAAGGTTCAACCTGGGCTCTGTGATTCTAGTGCTCTTTAACCTCAGAGAATCTCCAGGGAGAGAACCTAAAGATTAGGGACATCCCAGATGTTGAGGGCAGAAGGTGGCAGGCAGGGCCAAACAATTTCCCTCCTCTCCCCTCCCCTCCCCCTCCCCTCCCCTCCTCTCCTTCTCTTGCCATCCCTTGCCTTCCCTTGCCTTCCCTTGCCTTGCCTTACCTTGCCTTCCCATTTCCTACAATGTTTATGTACTATAATATGAAATTTGCTTCTATGATTTTTGAGACAAACACTAGGCTCTTTGGGGATCCCAATTCAATACCCTGGAAGACCTCCCACATCCATATCCCATCGCCTTTGTGTTGAGGCCACCCTACTCTACAAAGGCAAGTAGGTGGTACAGTGGAGAGAGTCCTGGAGTCAGCAAGACTCATCTTCCCGAGTTCAAATCTGGGCTCAGACGCTTACTAGCTATGTGACCCTGAGTAAGTCACCTAACCCAGTTTGCCTCAGTTTCCTCATCTGCAAAATGAGCTGGAGAAGAGAAATGGCAAATCACTGCAGTATCTTTGTCAAGAAAATCCCAAATGGGGCCATGGAGAGTTGGACACAACAGAAACAAGTGAGTAGCGACAGCCAACCCTACAAGGGAAGGAGAGCTAGGATCTGCCTGGATTGTGGGCCTGGGGGCTTTGTGTCCCACAGTCCCCATTATTCGCCTCCCCCCCCTTTTTTTTGAATGATGAACATGACAAACGTCAGCTGGGCTTTTCCATGATAGAACAGATCAAATTCCAGTTCAGCTACTGAGTAGTAACTGACATTAAACTGCTTCAAGGTTGGCAAATTACTTTGTGTGGCTTATTTGTGCCTTGTGAGGCATTACGGTTTTCAGCCATTTTATAAATAAAGAAACAGACTCAGAGAAGTCCATTGGCTTGGCTGTGGTCACATGGCTAGTAAGGATCAGAGGCAGAGTTTGAACCTACATTTTTCTTATTTCAAGTTTAGTGCTCTATCCACTGCACCACATTGTCTCATGCAAATACTGGTGTGAATATGGACTTCAGTTGCAATCCAATCCAATCAGCATTTATTAAATGTCTATATGCAAAACTTAGTGTTAGGCACTAGGGATAAAAGAGATTAAAAAAAAACCTGTCTTGGTCTTCAAGGTGCTTCCATTCTCTGGGAGGAATGCAAAATCTCCCTAGTGTATTTGTATACACAAGATTATTTGGGGATGGAGAATACTGTCATCTAGCTGCATCAGAAAGCCTTAGTGCAAGAGTTGGTTTATGAGGTGCACCTTGAAGGAAGCCAGGGATTTTCACAGGTTGAGATGTGGAGGAATGTATTCTAGGCACAGGGGCAGCCTGTGCAAAAACACAGAGTTGGAAAATGGATCGCCAAGTTTAGGGAAAAGCAAGCAGACCGGTTTGGCTGGAACACAGCTTGAGTTGAGGATAATGATGTGAAGTAAACCTGGAAAGTTAGGCGGGAGCCAGCTTGTAAAGGCCTTCTGATGCCAATCTGAGCTCTCTTCTCTGAGAGTTGGTTTCCTCATCTGGAAAATGAGGGGGTTGGAGTAGATGATCTCCAAGGTCCATCCCTGTTGTCCAGGCCAAGAAGTCCCTGGCTGAGGCAGGCTCACTGTTCGTTAAGTTATTTTAGTGTGAGTCCATAACTTGAGGCCCCAAGGAAAAAGACTTCAACCCAGGGCTCTCATGAGCAGTATTTGGATCTGAAGGGATGGCCATGGGGGAAGGTTTCTGAGCCATCAGAACAGAGTCTGGGGGAGATATTGATGGTGTACATACACCCTTGTTTGAACAGTGAGTAAGCATCAACCCTACTTTGAGACTGAGTTGACTGAGATCTTGGCCCATGACAGAGTACCTTCAGCCATACCCATTCCTTTCTTGGGGCCCTTGAGGTCAGCTCCCCCTCTACCATCTCAAAATCCTCTGACTAGTCCAGCACTCACAGGGTTAACCACCTTCTTCGAGAGCTCCAGGACACTGGATTTAGAGTTGACAGGCACTGTCAAGACCACCTCATCCAACCCTCTTATTTTACTGATGGAGAAACTGAGGCCCAGAGAAGTGCTAGTGTGGGTTCAGCTCTGCTACCTTTATGGCCTTGGGTAAGTTACCTAAATTCTCTGGACCCTCAGTTTCCTCATATGTAAAATGAAGGGGCTGGAAAGTGATCTCTAAGGCCCTTTATAGGTCTATAATCGTAATTGCTACCAAATCCTTGCATGATCCTGGGCAAGTGACCTTTGCCCCCTCTGAGCCTCAGTTGCCTCATCTGGAAAACAAGAGGATTAGGTTAGATGATCTCTCAGGTCCCTTCCAGCCTGAAGAGCTTGAGTTCCATGTCCCTGATCCCTAGCCCTAGGGTGGGGATGGGGGAGGGGTGGGGAGAGAAGGTAGGGGGGAGGGTCAAGGCTTGGCCAGAGAATGTGGAAAATGTGATTAATAATTAAAACAACATCCAGGGGGAAAATCAGGAAAACAACAACAAGGAGATGGGATCCTTGTCTGGAGAAGAGAGTGTGTGCCCAGAGCCAGGGCTTCTCTGGCCCTTTCTGGGAATCGGCCACACCAGTGGGTATTTTTAGCCAAAAGCAAAAAACAAAACAAAATAAGTTTAAAAAAAAAACCAACCAAAAAAACACACACATCCCCAACCTCAAATAATCAAATATGGAAAAAGAAAAAAATCTCCCATCATATTTATTTCCCCTGAGTGGAAGTAGAGGAGTATATAAAGGAGGGTATTCCCTTAGCTGCCCCCCAACAACTCCATAGCCTGCAGGGAGTAGAAGGGCCTGGAGAGTAAATGGGGTAGGGGTGGGGATAGGGAAGGATTAGGTTCAAATTGAAATGTTTTGTTCATTAAAAGAAAAAACAGGGGAAAGAAATTTCCCTTCTCCCTGGCCCAGGGACAGCTTCAACCCAGAGCATTGAAGTTTGTTGAAAAAAAAAACTGAGTGGGTGAAGAGAGAAAGCCAAGGGATGTGGGGGCCAGAGTCAAGAAGCTAATTTCAGGAACCAGGGAACTAGTTATCCCAGAAGTGTCCTCCCCTCCCTCACCTCATAAGAAGAGCCCAGGATTTGGAGTCAGGAGGACCTAGCTTCCTTTCTTCACTGTTACTACCTGTGTGACCTTGGGAAAATCACAGCCTTTCTGGGCTTCAATTTTCACTTCTGTAAAATGAAGGGATTAGAATCTTGGCTTCTATGGTCACTTCCATATCTAACTTCACGATCCTCTGTCTAAAGTTCCTTCCAGCTAAAAGCCTTTTGATCCCCATTCTCCCACTCCCCACAGAAGACCCATCCTGGTCTGTTAGTCAATTGACTTGGTAAGCAACCCGATGTGCCTTCCCCACTCCCCAATCCCAAAGGACCCATTCTATGGTCAGACTGATGGCTACAAGTCCTTGAGAACAACAGTAGCACCAGCCCTCTGGGAAGCGAAGGAAAATGACTCCTGTTTACCTCCTTCCCCAAAACTCCCCTCTTGAACTGTGTCACCATCCCTGACCGTGAGACCTCATGGCCCTGGTTTGACTGAGGCAGAGGAATGTGAAATACCACCAGGATGTTGTTGTTGGAGAGGTCAGTGATGGAAATCTGATCCCCCCAAATCTGTAACCAGAGGCACCTTCACAGGTTTCCAGTTTTCCCCTAATCTTTGTACTTCCCCTAGCACAGTGCCTTGCAGTTAAATATTTGTTGAATTGCATTTGATTTTATCATGGATATCAGTGAGTGGAGGAAGTAGGACAAAGGTTAGATGGAGGGGGGGAAGGTGAGGCAGGAAGGTGTAAAATATTGAGGTGGTCCTGATCAGAAAGTGCCCTGGCTAAAGGGGCCTGTAAGTAGGAAGTTATCCTGGGGTGGGTGAGGAGGGCTCCAGAGTTTTGGAGAAAGGTTAAACCTGGTATTAGGGGTAGGGGGTTGGAAAGCTGTAGAAAGAAGTCCCAGTTGTAGTTAGGGGTCAAAGCTAGGGACAGGGGGACCCTGGACAGGGGAGAATCCCAAAGGGGTGGGACATCCACTTTTGGCTTGGGCGCTGGGGCTGAGTCGGATCGAGTTTCTCGGCGCCTGGAGGCTCGACGAGGCCATCCTGTTCCCTGATGGAGTCCAAGCTGCCCCAGGCCCTGGCACTGAAAAGAGGCCGTTTATGTAACTAGCTGAGCTCCAGGCGCCTGCCCGCCAGCCTGGACCCTGCCGTGTATGTGTGTGACTGCTGGTGTGTGAATGTGTGAATGTGTGTTTGTGACATCGCCTTCGGGCTGCAATGTATACAGTGTGTCAGTGAATGTGAGAGTGGCTTTTTGTGGGCGCTTCTGCTACTGTGCTTTTTACACTTCCACCTCTTGTGAGGTTCTTCTTTTTATCTCTCTGTGTTAACTATGTTACTGTGTTCATCAGCTAGGTTTTTAACCTGTGCCTGTTGTGAAGTTACTCAGTATGTACCTGTGTATCCTTGTATGTGTTTCCGCTGTGTGTGTGTAAGTCTGGAAACAGTTTTCATCTGACCAAGACTGAGCACCTGATGTGAGGGTTTGAATCAGAGAAAGACGAAAGAAAACTGTGACTGGTGCATCCACTTTTCCTCTTTCGCCTTCTACCAAGAGAGAAGACTGAACCGAAGAAGGGAAGGTTGCCCTCTGAAAATTTCTGGAAAGACACTGAGGATAAGGATCAGCTAGACCAAAAAAGGACAGAACAGTAGGGAAATGAGCTGATATTTTAGCAGAAGAGGCTGAGGTTAGACTTCATAACAGTGAAGCGTAGAACAGGCCCAGCAAGGGAGGCTAGCAGGCCTTACGACATATGACAGATAGATACTTGGAAGGAACCTTAGAAATCATTTAGTTTAGCTCACCTTTTTACAGCTGAGGAAACTGAGGCCTAGAGTGGTGAAATGACTTGCTCAAGGCCACAATGGGTCATCAGCAGTGTCTGGTCCTAGAAGCTTGCCTGGCACATAGTAGGTGGTAAATATTTTTGCTTGCTTGCTTGATTCTTTCCACTGCACAATGCTATTTGTCATCATCGGGGGTCTCTCTAGGAAGGAAAGGGGCTCCTAGATGTGGTCTGGGGAAGGATCTATGCTACAAAAAGGCAGAGGGCTGGATGTGATTTAGTTTATAATCTATAGCTCTGAGGGGTCAAGGTCCTTGAATCACATATTAGTGTGATTTTATCCTTTCGTATCTCTTTCCATGAGTACTTACAAGCACAGTTTCAGGGAAATTTCTGTATTTCCATCCAAGAATATGCCCTGCCAGTACTGGTAGCTGGGAATTAGGCCCAGAGGGTGGGGAGCAGGCCTGCAAGGGTAGGTGAAAGGAGGAGGGTGGAATAAATCTTGCTTCTGCCCCCTTCATCACTCCAGCCAGATTTCCTGGGTTTGGTTAACCTGGACCATGGGGAAGGTTGCAATGGTGGCAGTTCCAGTAACAGTTTCAGCCAGAGGATCCAAGGTTGTCTATTAATACCTCTCTTTGCACTCTTTAATTCATAACGTTTAAAGCTCACCCAGGGAAATTAAATGTAAAATAATTCCTTCTGAAACCTACAGGGCTTCTCTTCTCACCAAAGGCCTGATTGTCTCCCTAACCATACACAGATGCATAAGACACACACACACACACACACACACACACAGCTAAGTCACTTACTCTTAGTGTCTATTCTGACTTGGGCAATTTGGAAGACTCAGAGGAAACAGTGCCCTTGTTCTTGTCCTTGGAAAGATTGGAGAGGGAGACAAAACCGAGTCCTTGGGGAGCTCCAGTCTTATGGGGAAGAAAAAGCTCGGAGTCTGGGGATCTTCTGTCTGAGGGAGGAGACACAGCCTATTCTTTGGGCAGCTACCAGAACAAAAGCACAGAAAGAGGTGAATTGAGTACAGGGTGCTTAAGTCTCTGTGACTATTTCTGTCTTTGTGTCTGATTATTTGATTTCTAGGTCTGCCTAATTTTATCTTCTGTGAGAGACAGCCTTAACACCACCCCCATCCCCACCCCCACATTTTCTCAGTGGAGCTCCAGAGATAGAACCCTTCAAAAGGGCCTCTCTAGTTCGGACTCCCACCCACCACTTCTCATCTCCCTCCCCTCCAACCAGCCCTCCCCAACACCATTCCTGCCTGGACGCTGCCCCAGCGTTGACCGGCAGGTGTCGCTGTGGCCCGGAGAATGCCCACCCAGGACCCAACTGGAGAAGGAGGGAGGGAATGGGGTCGTGCGGACTGGAGGTCTGGCTCCGCCTTCCTGCCTGAGCTGGGCTGGGCCGGACCCGAGCCTGACTAGGCTGGAGATTCGGGATTTCTGCCCCCAACCTCCTAGTCTAGACCATCCCGGAGACTGGGATCGGGACGGGGCTTCCGTGATGCCCCCAGATCTACTCGCTTCTGCGCCTCCCGCTGGGGACCTGTCTGGGCGTATGTGCATGAGTGTGCGTGTAGTTGTGTGTGTGTGTGTGTGTGTGTGTGTGCATGTATGTGTGTGTATTGCGGGAGGGGACGGCGCTGGGAGTCTGAAAAGCCGGGGTGTGGGTAAAGGGAGTCGACAGGAGAAGAGTGGGGGTGACAGGGAGAGGAGTTGGGGCAAGGGAAGGACCGATGGGAAGAGGGACGTGAAACTCCCCCGGGTTAATTGGCCTCCATCCAGGTGGAGTATCCTCGGGGCCGTGAAGGACACAAGAGGGACTGACACAGAGGCTCTTCCTCCTCCTTCCACCCCCGCCCAGGGAATCACAGGAATAGACCCAGGGACTCAGACACTCCCAGTGGTGCATTCAAACAAATACTGACCCCCGCCCCCCCCACCTCCAATAGCCTATATTAGCCGATCCCACCACAGACACAGACAGACCTGGGCAGAAAGACACACAGTCACCGACACACGTTCCCAGGCTGAGCAGCCCTTTTCCTCACAGGCTCACATGGACACACTGACAAAACTACACTCTCCTGGTTCGGTCTCTATGGCAACCCCCCTTCTCTGCCACCCGCAGACCGGGGCTCAGCATCGCGTCCCCCCTCGATCACTCTAGATAAAGAGGACGGACAAGGGGTGGGTGTTGGGAAGGACAATGGGACATAAGGTGGCCAGAGGCTTTCCAGGCAGCAGTGGCCAGTGTCTTTCCTCTTAGTACTGGGGGGGGGGGGGAGATGTGATTGATTTTCCGGTAGGAAATTTCCCCCACCACCTTGTGAAAGTGAAGAGACTTCTAGGTCCCCAGACTAAGACTGGCATCTGATGACTTCATAAGGCATAACCCACAAAGCAAATACTCTATCCATGGGTACTGGAGAGTGGACTGCACCTGAAAGAAAGGAAAAAGAGTGAGGACACTCACTGTTCACAAATAGAATCCTACCCATCTATCTGGTTTTTCTGTCATTGGCCTACTGAGCTGTAAACTCCATGAAGGCAGGGACCAGTGTTTTCTCTAAACTTACCTCTTCCAGTGCCTAGCATAATGTTCTGCACACAGAAGGGGATTAATAAATCTTGTTTTGTTGATTGTACACACAATTTTCAACTCTGTCCATTTCTGTCTCACTTCCAGAGAAATATTCATGGATGCTTCTTCTGGCCCATAGATTTATACTGAACTATGCTCCTTGGAATGTCTTTCAAATAAGTATGCTCCTAAATCCATGGCCCATTTATCGCTATGCCCTAAAGCTAACTCACATATATGAACATCCATGACACAGAGCTAATACATATGTACATGGAAAGTTTGGGGGTATCAGCCTCGGTCTGCAGCCTGAGAAACACACCCAAGACCCTTTCGACTTAGGGTTTCTTGACAGACTATGTACACACACATAAACACTCAGACTTGATGCACTGAGACACACATGCACACAATCACAGAAACACACTCAGACATATACACACTCCCCCCTCCCTTGGAATCTCTCAGAAGCTGTGTGTGGGGCCAGCTCTAGTGCAAATTCCTGCCCCTCAGACCCTTTCATGTCCACCCACCCCCCTTCCTCCCACATTTCCTGTGCTGAGAAACCCTTCTCTGGAATGTCTGTGAGCAGCATCCCCCGTACTCCCTCTTTTCCTTCCTCACCCCCATCCCTCTTTCCTCTCTTACCCCCACCTTGTTCACCCCTTATCTTAAGAGTAAGGACACCTGGGTTCTAGTCTAGCTCTGCCAATAAAACCTTGAGTCACCTTGGCCAATCCAGTGAGGCAATCATACAACATTTGCCAAGGTCCCTTAGGTTCTTTTCTCTCTGTTTAAGATCTAGTTAAGGAGACACAATTTATACACAGGAGACAATTAAAGGGAAATTATGTGTTAAGCTGTATGTGGTAATAATAATAATGATAATAATAATAATAATGATAATAATAGCTAAGATGCCACTGTGATGAGAGCTTTGTGAGTATTGCATCATTTGATCCTCACAACAATCCTAGGAGACAGGTGCTATTATTATCTCTATTTTACAGATGAGGAAACTGAGGCAGAGGCAAGTCATTTTTCCTGGGCCAGACTCATCACATACCTGTTGCTACTAATTCTAAATTTAACAATCAGTTCATAGAGTTGAAGTAGTCTGGGAAAGCTTCATGGAGTAGGTAGGACATGCTGGGCCTTGAAGGATGGCTAGGATTTGATGAGGCCAAAAAGAAGGACCAGTGGAGCTTGGAGCCTTCTGGATACATTTCAGAGCCTGGTCTGGTGAAGGGTTTCCTTTGGATGGCAGTGGTTAGATATACTTGAAACATTCATGGAGAGTTTGTAATGCTCAGCTAAGGAGTTTGGACATAAGCAAATATAAAGTTAAAAGAATGGTTGGGGATTTTTGAGTAAAGAATTTCTGAATTTGTGGGAACCTTGGAAATCAGTCTATGCTCTTCAATTTACAGAGAGATGGACTTGCCCAAAGTTACAAAGCTAGCTACTGGAACAAATAGGACTAGAACTCAGGTCTCTTGGCTACCAGTTCAATTCTCTTTCTGTGGCACTATAGTCTTTTCCAACAAATTAGTGGTTAGGTTAGGTTAGGTTAGGTTAGTTTAATTAAACAAATGTTTATTAAGTGTATATTGTGCTTGATTGAGGCTGTTGACAGTCAAAATGGAAAGGATGAACCTGGGAGACAGTCTTTCTGGGCATCCAATTTCCTCATCTGCAGAAGGGGGACAGTTATTTTTCCCACCTTCCCACTACTGAGATGAGTGGGGAGGAGGGGCTCAGGAGAATCAAGGGCTCACCCAAACCATTATGGCCCTTTATGCTTGTTTTCCTATTTCTTTTCTGCCCACATTCTTGTGTGACCCAGGGCGTTTCCAACATTTTGCCACCAGAGATCTGGAGACGTAGCTGATCTGGAGGTGAGTGATGTTGGAAACTTTTCCAAGAGAGAGAATACAAGTTAGCTAGCTGTTTAGAACTTGATTTCTGTGTATCATCTTTTAAATTATGGCTGACCTCTGGGCTTAATGCCCTGACCATCCCTTTGGGCTGTACTTGGGGGAATGTCAAGAGAAAATAGACATGAAATGTCCATGAAAGTCTCTTCCCTCAGACTAGGGGCTTCCTAAGGCTAGGGCTTAAGTCTGTTTCTTTTTTTTCTTCCTTCCTTCTTTTCTTCCTTCCTTCCTTCTTTCCTCTCTCCCTCCTTCTCTTCCTCTCCCTTCCTCTTTCCCCCCTCCTTCTACCATCTCTCCCCTCCCCTCCCCTCCCCTCCCCTCCCCTCCTCCTCCTCTTCTCTTCTCTTCTCTTCTCTTCTCTTCTCTTCTCTTCTCTTCTCTTCTCTTCTCTTCTCTTCTCTTCTCTTCTCTTCTCTTCTCTTCTCTTCTCTTCTCTTCTCTTCTCTTTCTATCTCTCCCTCCCCCCCTTTCAAAATCAAGGTTCCTATACAGTAGAGGTTTGGGAAGAAAGTACTGTGGAGGAATCACTAAATTTATGGCTCCTGAAACAAGAGAGGGGTCCAACAGCTCTTGCCCAAGTCCTCAAGAAAATGCTTTACCAGGTGCTCCATCTAATGTGCTGAGGGTTTTTCTCTAGATCTCTTGAAATTGTGAAGGTAATGATAGAACTCAGAGACTGCTCAAAGGTACATTACCAGCCTGCCTCTTTTCCTGGTCATACATTTCTTTGCTAATACGCTATTTTAGGCTATTGCTCTGGTGCAATTCTTTGTTGATAAATATGCCATAACCTCCTCACATGCACTATGCATTTTCTTATTGCTCTCTGGATAACTCTCCCTAGGATACAGAAGGAGAAACCGAGGTCAGGAGCTGTGACAAAGCATTGGCTAAAGGTCACTGCTTTCAGCAGGATGGGATTCAAGTCTGGCACATGGAACACAGAGAAAGTTAAAAACAGCCTCATGTCCTGGAAGTTTGTTCCCAGAAATACGGGTGAGGACATGGAGTCCCCATCCCTGCTCCAACTCCTTCCAAACCACTGGGGAAGGAGGAGGAGCAACTCATTGGATGAGGGTGGGAAACCCCTAAGTCCTCTGAGGCTGCTTCTTTCTTATCCTTACTTGTCAGGTAAGCGTGTAATTGTGAGGAGGAAGTGAGAAAGGGGAGATTAGAGGTAGATGTGAAATAATGCAGGCATGGGTGTTGGGAATGATGGAATATGGAGTTGAGGGAAGAGAATGGAAAGATTAGAAAATGGGAACAGATGGTGAGATGGAGAATCTGGAGGATAGAGACTTGCAAAGATGGGGATATGAAAGGAAGTAAGTATGGGGAAAGGAAAAGACAGAGAAATGGGAGAGAATGATCAATAGGGAGCAGGGTCCAGGATAAGCAAGATTTTTCTCCACTAAAATACAGATCTCATGCTTCATCATGTTGTGGTTCTCAAAGGTTTTGCCAGCAGAGTATAATCCTCTTGATGGACCTGAAGGTTGCATTTATGGACTGTGTATCTATTATGTGTATACTAGTCTACTTGAGTCTGGGGAGACTACTCACCAGGTTGCCCAAAAGGGGGTGAATTTTTCAGTCACAGCAAATTAGGGAGAATAGCTAATCAGTTGTAGAAGGGTTGCTTTCTGCCTAAATGGAAGGAATAGTCACAGCAGAGGAAATTACAGGTCCTGAAAGTACTGAAGCAAGCTCTCAGTCCTGTGTTATTGCCTGCAGATGGGGATGAACCTTCTTTGAAATGCATGTAACTTGACTTATCAGGCAAAATTTTCTGGCATTAAAATTTATACTTAAATTATGTTAAACGTGTCCCTCATTGCACTCTAGGAGGTTGCCTACTTTGCCAGAGTTCTAGCACTGATGGGGACACAGAAGGTATGTAGGAGATGGAGACAAGGAAGTGAGGGAGGGGGCTATGGAATGGAATCATGGAATGGGGAGGTGGGGAAATGGGAGCTATGAGGAGATGAGGGAGGGGATGGAGACATGAGAACATGAAGTGATGGAGATAATAAGAAGCTGTGGGTGCAGTCTTTTCCTTCGAAAGTTCCCTTTTGACATGGGAGTGGGGGTGGGGTGTATGGTGGAGGAAGGAGGAAGGGAATAAGAAGATGAAGACCAGAGGAGGGGTGGGAGTTTGGGTTTGCTTTAGGCGTCCTCAGCTCTCCTCTCGCTCCAGTCTAGTCCAAAAAGGTGCTTTCCCTTTTACTGGCATTGATATGCAAATGTTTGGTCTCCAGCTTTGAGTCTAGCGCTCGGCAGTTGCGTTTGAATGAGAAAAGAAGCTATGTAGAAGCTCAGTTCTGACCTGGGAGGCCTCCCAGCCGGGCCCTACACACCGCACCGTAGCACTCCCGAGTCCTCGTCCCAACCCAAGTCCGTGGACCTAGTCAATCCCTGTTCCGATCCCTTCTCCCCAGCCAGTCCTGTGAGCTGGTAGCAAACGGTGAGAAAACCTCATTTCCTTTTTTCAGATTCTGTCCTGAAGTTCCAGCCCCACGACGAGAAGGGCGGGACCAGGGAACCCGGGAGAAGAGAAA